GACCTTAAAGATGGGAACAAGGCAGCGAAAAGTCGCTGTCCGCAGAGAAAATTAGAGAAAAACGGCTCGCGTGGGCAGCCAAGGAAAGTTCAGTTTAAAAGGGGCTATCCTATAGAGAAGCACCAGGTCGGGAAGTAACTTTACGCACACGTACGAATTGGTAAGCTAGTGACCAAAGTACTTGCGGAGATCCACTGACCAGAAGAAGATACATCAACCTTACTATTAAACCGTCGACGGGAAAACCGACCACGCACGTGTTTTGTGTTTGCCGCGTGCTTCATGGAAAATCACTCAACCCAGGATCAGATCAAGATACTGCATCACTGTGAGTACACTATCCGCGAACCTCATCAATTATTGCCAGCCGGCGACAAAACCGGCACAACACAACCATTAACATTATCTCACACTCTCTGACAAGAAGTGTGCAGCAATTATTTACCTGCGCAATTTTCAATTCAACATCAATTAAACGATTTCAAGAGCATCTCGTGTATGACACCTCCTATACAAGGAGCCGTTCAAGAAATCGTATCTTCACATTAGATTCAAGAAAATTTTATACACCCATATGTAAATAGTGTAATAAATTGTATAATAAAAGCATAGACTACTCTCACGACTCTTGTACAGCCCTTCCACCTAAGTCTTTCCCGGGCGTCTGCTAGGGCGGGCGGCAAATTAAGCTATTGAAGCATTGGCAGTTCGAGCCAAGAATTACATCACTATAATTTCGGAAATATCAAATAATAACAATTTAATTTTAATAAAATTTTTAATTATTATATTAAAATATAAGATGAAATTTTTTAAGTAACAGCCTATAAAAAGAATAAGCATTATAATTCTGTTTACTTTTATATAAGATAAGAATTAATTAAAATTCAAATGGAAGAATCGATCAAGCAGACAAAATATAATGGTTATAATTCTTGTCATAACTATAAAAGCAAATATAAATATGTAGCAGTAGTATCGATTATATATAAATTAGAAATTTATGATCTAATAGATTATAAAGATAATAAAGGATAGGTAAAGTATACAAAATTACAGTTAATATCATATAATACTATGAAATATTATTTTTATATATAATGTTATTACATTTAAAAATTATATGTATAAAGATTAAAGGATAATTATCTTCGAATTTTTTTATTTATCCGCTGTTTTATAAAACATACACACACACACACAATTATATTGTACTTTCGACTGTTTTGTAGTTATGTAGTTTTTGCGTTTTGACTGTATATATTTCACTATAAATTAAAAATATATATTATACTTTGTAATTCTGATTATCTTTTTTATTTAATAAAGAATTCCAATTGTCTACTTTCCATCTTAAATTGGAAATTTAAATTAAATTATATGTATTCATTATCAAAATATCATGGTTAATCTTATATTAAGATATTGTAAATACGTTTAGTATTTAATAATTTTATAATTTATTTAATAATTTAATAATTTTGAATATAAAATTAATTTCAGTTGAAATTCTTTTCGATAAAATAATTTTTACTGAAAATGGCATATAATAAAAAATGTTTGTTCTCAATATTATTAAAAGTGTAAAAAAGATGAATCAAATACCTTATGGTTGCTAATAGGTTTTCTTTGCACACTACAAGTACTTAATTATTTATTTTAATTTAAATAAAATTCAAATGTTTGTTAGAAATGGCTAGAATTCTGAAATATTTAATGAATTTCGTAATATCTAATAGACAGTTTAATTAGCATAAGATATTTATCAGAAGCAATGAGTTTTATACATCATAAATATTGAAGACGCGTTTCAATATTTTTAAAATAAAACATTTTTTATATTTTTTAATGAATATAATCTAAAAAATTATTCATTTTAAAGGTATTTACAGAATAACTTAAGATTCTTAAATAAATAATTATGTGAAATTAAACTATCAATCATCTAGTTAAATTAAAATACTTTTAATAAATTTGTTATATAATTGTCACGAATTTTTTATAATTCATAATTACGAGTTTCGTATAAAATAAATGTGCATTTATTTTAAATTTAAAATTAACTAATAAAATCATATTAATTTAATACATATATTAAAGTTTTTAAATAGTGAGAAATATGTTTCAAAATGTAGATCATTGATTAATTATCAGTAAGTAATTATATTTTATAAATACTATAGACTAAATTATTTTTTAATAATTTTTAATATTTACTAAGTAACAAGATATCAATTACAGTAATTCTGATATAAATTAGAATATATTATAATCGTTTAAAATAAATTTCAACAATTTTCATAGTACTTATTTATATTATAATCAATTTGATAAAAACAATGATGAGTTGTAATATATAAAATCTTGGAAATACAATTTGATGTGGTTTATCTAAATTCAGTAATAGTAAGACAAACGTATATGATTTATTATCATAATTATCTTGATTCTCTTGGAATTCAGATAAATTGTAAATAGCCTTCGTTTTCATAGTCATTCAATGAAAAAACTATATTTAACTTTTTTGTTTTTGCTTTCGCCTAATACTATTTAATGTTTTTACAATATAATAAAACTATGTAGAGATCACTGATTTCTTCATTTGGACATTGAAAGGGTAGTGTGGATGATTTGCAACTCTAAAACGGAAAATATACATTGTTTGAAGTAGTATTTTATTTGATAATTATTGATGTATATTTTTATTATTATTTTCTTATTTATTTTGATAAATTTGTATTCAAAATTTGAATATACTTTTATACAAAAATTTGTGTACTATTTGAAAAATTAATACAAAGAATAAATAAAATCTTATTGATTTTATATGAAAATTTGAAAATATTAAAGTTTTAAGTATTATTTAGTATTGTGTCTAGAATTAATTATTTTATTGTTTAATTATAGTTTTTTATTAATAAATATTTTCATAAATAGAAATTGTAAAATTTTAAAAAGTTTTACTTATATTATTGACTGAATTAGAATTTTTATGTTTATATAATTATCTCATTAAGTAAAAGTTTTTTTAGATTTCTATATTTTTATTTCTATTTTCTACAAGTTATTTGTCTATAAATTAATAAAATCTATTTATTTCTTTGAAACCATATAAAGATATCCTGTATTGACTGCTTTTATTAAAACAATTTTGTAATTTTTTAAAAACTTTTATTCATTTTCATCATAACTAATTTTAGGATATAATAAATAGAAATAAAATTTAATATTTATAAAAATATTTATGATGTATTTTATATATGTTTCTTTTTTATTTATTATTAAAATATTTTTATAACTATATATAATGCATTGTTTTATATTAATATGAAATATTTTTAAATTCTATAATTATAATATTCAGAAATTTCAATATTAATTTTTTATTTGTATTAATGTCTGTACATCAATTAGTATGAATACTAATGCAACTAGACATATGCAATTTAATCTACCAATACATATGGTAGCTAAATATCCTAAACTTCAGAAGTCTAGAGTTATTTCTAAATTTTATTGAATAAATCGGATAATAAGATTTCTTTTCAAAGAAAGAATTTTTAATAGAAATTTCTTTTTAGAGAAGTATAATCTCAGAAAACTTTATTTTCTCATTTATCATTTACTAGTTTTATATTCCTGTTTATAATTATTTGAATTTTTTAGAATATTATTTACTCTATATTTTAATATATTGCATTACAAAAAATGTAATATTATGAAAGTATAAAATGAAGAAATATATAAATAATACATATATATATTTTTTCAAATATAAAACAATTGATTTATAATAAAAGTACTAATATAATTAACCTATACAAGATTACTTTACTTTATTTATTACACATTTTTTTGCAATACTCGAAGTCATACAAAATAACAAATTAATTTTTTTTATTGTTACGTACCCATTAAAAAATAAGAAATCAAAAATTCTTCCATCTTCACCTTGGTCTAAGTTATTTAATTGTCCCATTTCGTCATTTGTCAATGTAAAATCAAATATGTCAATATTTGATTTGATTCTGTCTGGATTAGAACTCTTTGGTATTACAGTAATTCCTCCTTGTATAGCATGTCGTAATAATATTTGTGCTGTTGTTTTATTATGATTTTTAGCTATTTTTTTAACAACTGAGTGCCCCAATAAGTCTGGAAACGTTTGTAGTGTATAATTGTATTTTGTTTGAAAATGCTGTTTAGCTGCAGGTGAACCAATAGGGCTATATCCTGTTATATAAATTTCGTGCATCTGACAAAATTGTTTGAGTGATTGTTGTTGCATATAAGCATGTAGCTCAACCTATGAATAAAATTTGAACATTTAAATTTGTTATTATATATATTTTTCAATTACAGTACCTGTATGTTACTGGGTTTAATTTCAGAATTATTTATTATATTTTGAATTTGTGATTCATTAAAGTTACTTAGTCCAATAGATCTTGTTAGACCTTTTTTCACTTGATGTTCCATTTCCTGTAATTTAGATTATAGTAAATATCTACTATAAAAAAATAACCTAATTATAGAATATTTTACCTTCCAGACTGCTACAGGATCTGATTTAAGATCTAAAGTAATTGTTCCATCTGTATTTGTTGCTGGTGCAAAAGAATTTTGATCTTGAATGAATGAAAATGGCATGTGAACCAGATACAAATCTACATAATCTAATCCTAATCTTTGTAGTGATAAGTTTATGAACTTTTCAACATCAGATGGTCGATTGCCAAAATTTGGTAACTATAATTAATTTTATTTTATAATAATGACTAATATTTGAATGTAATACTTTTAGTATAATAATTTACTTTTGTTGTTATAAAAAGGTCTTTACGATTTCCTCCTTGATCAAACCATTTTTTAAGACTTCTTCCTATTGCTTCTTCATTATTATAATTAAATGCTGTATCAAAATGTCTGTATCCTGTATTAAGTGCAGTAGTTATAACATTTTCTATTTCTTCAGATTTTGCCTAATAATATTATTTTTGTAAAAACTAATATTTATAATATGACACATAAGCAATTAGAACAAAAAGACAGTTATATCTAATTTATAATAAGTATTTTAATACAAATATATATCAAGCTTTCTATCAGTTATCACTAACTCTGCTCCATGTGTTTACCTGCCATGTACCTAGTCCAACAACAGGCATATCATATCCTGATGATAATTGTACAATTTGCATTGTGATACGTCTTTGACAATTAATTAGCAGTGTAAAGGAGCGGCAAAGTCCCAAGGTGAATGTAGTGCTAGGTGTATGCATATAAATGTATTATTTTTAGAATAACCTACTTTAATCTAATAATACTAAAAATGTAATATTTTATTTTGAATCAGTCTAAATGTTTAATTTTTTCTAATAAGGGTTTTAAATCAGTTGAAGTTATTAATAATTACTTATTATACTTATATTTAAAAATTACTAATTCACTATTTATAATACAAAATATTTAGATTAAATTCATAAAAACTATATTTTATCCATAGATATTTTATAAGTTAAAATATGTGTTTTAATAAAATTAAATGTAGTTAAGTAAATGATAAATTATTAAGTAATTATGTACATTCAAAAATTTATACTCTTTATTTATGTAATTATTTTACAAAATAATTTATAAATTGTTTGGCACTAACATAAAGATTTTGATAAATTTTTATTTTTAATATTTTATTATTTTAATTTATTAATTTCGGAATCGTAACCAATTTTATTTTAAATATATGTTTGAATTTCTGACATTTTAATAATATTTAGATATTTTTATAACATTCGGATATAATTTTTTTGTCAATATTTTTCTTTTAAATTCATAAAATACGTCTATTTGAATAGTAACTGAAAATATTGAAATATCTGAGTTTATTTATAAAAATACGTAACTAAGCAATCGAAACTAACAAAATTTCAATTTTGCGCGATAGTCAATTTTAATAATTTTTTAAATAGTCTTTAACCTTTATTTAACCTCTATTTTTATTTATTTTTTTACTCATATTCAACATAGTTTAAAATAAAAAGATTTTTAATTTTTACATTTGATAAATATTCTTTTCATATTGGAGAATATTATTTAGTTATCTATATTTTATTTAAATTTTAGTTATTTTGTAACTTACTTGAGTAGCCCCATCATGATTACACGTGGCGTGATCTGACATGGATAATTAAAATATTTTAGTCCCTACCTACTATTAAGTAAACTAAATTCTTTATTTAAATTTTAATAACTTAATAATTATAAAAATAACTATTAAATGAAAAAATTTCGAATGAATAACATTTCAAGTATTAAACCGAACATAACAATATAGTAAAAGAGTAAATTAATTGTAAAAAATTATAATCAAATATAATTTTTAATTTAGATATAGGAATGATTTCACAATTTTAGTTAAAAAATTCAAAAGAACTCTAATGATCACTATGTTTCGTAACTAATTAAAACTATTAGTAAATGCCAGAAGATTTAAAGCAACAGTCTACTAAATAAAGTATTTATTAATTTGAAATATAGTTAGAATTTAATGAGACATTCAACTGCTTATGCAATAATTTTATATCGTCATTTGAGAAGACAAAAATTAAATTATATCTGTCAGATGTCGATATATCTTGGTTTTCTTGTTCACTTTTGTTGATTAGTTCTTTTAATAATTATTGATTCTAAGTTATTGTGTCTTATTTTATCTTTTTATGAAGTCTAAATCTATAATATCGTATTTGTTATTAAGTTTTGCTATAGATATCAATATTTTATTTTTAATATCTGTATATAATGATTAAATTATGAATTATAAATCGATAAGTTTATAAATTTCAAATATTTAAATACGTTGTAGAACATACATTGTGATCTGTACATTATAATATAATTAAAAAATATTAGGAGTATATTGTATAAAATATCTTAAAAGTTGCGTAATTCGAAAAACAACAAATTTATTTACGAATTTTTATTGATAACGATAATCATAATGATATAATATACAAAGTGATAAAATCCAAATAAATACAGAATTGTGAAAACAAAAAGCATTAAAATATGGAATAAATAAAGTATATTTTTAAAAAAGTATAAGAAACTTATCGTATAATTTTTCCAATTTAATTTATCGGGATTTTTCTAATATTAAAATAAATGCATGTAATATATATTTTTGAAGTCGTATTTCATTTAATAAATTAATAAATTAGTATGTAATCACAGAGAGATCTATTTATACTTTATAATGCTTAAAAAGAATGCTCGTCTGGTTAGCCTCTTATAAAAGGTAAGTGATCAAAACTTTGTTGATGCAGTGAGGAGCTTCGCGGTCGGTTGTCATTTTGATTGTGGCTATTAGGAAAACCGCCAGCCTTTGGAAGCTGAGGGAGTACCATTTGACTGATGTTCGTATGCTGCAAATGTAAGAAAATATCAGTATATAAAATCATAAAATACCAATGTATAAAGAATGGAGATAGATGAGGATAAAGAAAGATTATATTCTGCCGTATTATTAATGTAATTTTATTTTATTTTCGTAATCACAATATTAAAATAACTTACAATATTACAATACTTAAAATCACTATTATATAAGATATATATTTCTGAAATATTTACATTACATTCTGTAAAATCTAATTAAATTTATATATATGAGCTTTTATTTTTAACATATAAAATTAAAATAATATACATTTAGCAAGGTAAATAATTAAATTATTGTATTTATTGTTTTAATTGCATGGCGTTAATAATCTTAGAAAGCTTCGAATAATTAATTATTTTCAATTGAATCGTAAGATCAGTGATTAGTAAAGTATAATGATTGTAGTTTTCGTATTTATATAAAAATTATAAAAGATATTTTCAATGTTTATCGGAATATATTATAAATTCGTAACAGAATATTAAATTATATCTTTTCATTAATGCTATCAATTATATGATTTTCATACTAATAATGATTTAATAATAAGTAATCAATTTAGTAATATATTTTCTTTCATATTTTTCTGAATTTTATTTGGTAAACCATACCTTTGTTCTTTCTCGAAAATTTCGAAGTTTTTCAAATTCTTCCATTTCTATCTCCGGTACTTTAAAGTAAAAATTTTCAAAATAAAGATGTTGCAGTAATTGGTCACATGACCATCGTTCATCTGGATTTTTATCAAGACACTTTTTTAAAAAGTCCAACTGAAAAATAAAAAATAACTTATGTACATATTTAAGTTTCTTATAATTTGAATTATTATGATTTTGGAAATATATTAATAAAGATAAAAATGGGAATATATGTTAGTAATAATTATTTTATAATGGCACTATATATTTAATTTCTACGCATTTACAAATTTTATTATTTTTTACTTTATTATTATACTTATTGTATTGTAAATGTTTTTGTTTCTAAATTTCTCTTAAAGAGAGGTAAGGTACATTCATTCCTTTCTTACATGGACATACGAAATTTTAATTCTTTAAGAAAGTTTACTCATCCTATTTATAATTCCATAACATATTGTTATATATATTATATCGTATTTATTCAATTGTTTAGTTTTCCAAATTATGTTAAACTATAATGTGTACAAAATTTATTTTATATATTATATAAAAAGATGATATATGAGGATCTTTATTGATTTCAAGTAAACTTATTTAAGATAGATTAAACTTAGAAAAATCCAAATAATATGTAAAATAGTTTCATAAATTTAATAGGGTATCATTTTAATTTAAAAGTAAATTAAGTTAGTTTATTATAAACTGAATAAGAACAATCAAATTATTTACTTTAGATATGATTATGTATCCATAAATGATAAGCCTATCCTTTTTTATATAAAGTCATTACCTCATTTATTCTTTTTAAGGTGTATCAAAGCACATAATTCATGAAAGGATAAATCTGAATATACATGTCTGTGGATTATAGAATTCTATAAAATAACTCAGCATAAGTGAAATTGTTATTTTATCATATAGTTTATTGATAATATATATATATATATATATATTTATTTTATTCCTTAAATGGACTATTATATTATTTTAATCATTATATTATTTTCATAAAATAATATATTCAATACTAAGCATAAATCAAGAAAATGGATATTTATAATTACTGTTAAATAAAAAAAAAATGGCGCTTTAGAGCACGAAATATACATTATATAAAAATAAGCATTTTAATTTTGAAATCAGATATATGATTTGTTTTTATATAAATGTAACTTTTACAGAAAACATTATATTTTATTTAAAATTGACTTAAATTGACTTAAATTATTAATTAAATTTTATTATGATATTATAACACGTACAATAAAAATATTAAATATAAGTAATATATAATACAGATTTTGTTCTCTTCTTGTAGACAAATTACCTGTAGTGTAGAGTTGTTGGTGCTGGGCATTGCGATTTCGAGCGGCGTGAGTGTATGCGGTGCCGGTAGGCTCATTCCCATAAAGAACTCATTTTGCTGAAAGATAGCCATGTGCCTTGGAAGCAAATCTCCCAAAGTCCGTCTTATTAAATATAGCTGATCTACGTCGGATTTGCCAGGCCAAAGAGCTTCGCCACGTATTAGTTCTGCATACACGCAACCAATCGCCCAGACGTCCACAGCTGTACTATATTGCGTATCACCTACCTAGAAGTATTAATGTAGATTTCTTTTATATAATTACAGCAACTGTAGAATATTTTTCTTAAGTTTTAATGTTGGTGTATTCGATACCTTGCATTAAACATATAAAATATGCTTTAAAATATATTAAAATTCTTCGAAATACTGAAATTCTATAATTTAAAAATATAGTTTACAAATGTTTTCATATTAGATTTATATACTTTAATTTTCTATTTATTTAATTTTAACATTCTGTAATAAAATTACAGTGTTTTATATGTACAATTAAGAATAAGTAATAAATAATTGAAATAAAAATATTTTTATTAAAGCTAAAAATCAATAGAAGTAATAGTTTAGCTTTTAATTCAAGAATAAAGGAATAAATTAAAGTAAAGAATAAGGCTGTAGATTTATTATAGATAATTTCGTATTATAGTAACACTATATTTAATATTAATATATATTAAAGCATATTTTATCTGCTGTTAATTATTTGATTTAAGTTATGAATTATAATTATTTATTATTATTATTATTCATTATTATTATTTAATATTATTAATAATTATATACTATATGTATACGTGTGTGTGTATATGTGCATGTGTTTTGTGTATGCTGATATTAACTATAATAAATAAAATATTTTAATATTATTTCACTTAAAGTAATTTGTCACTTTTAAATGATAAAATTATGTTATAAGTATTAGCTATTAATGGTTAATATCAGCCATATTTTTTAACATTTCAAATAAGTCTTAAAATACTTTGAAGGTTAAATATATTTATTCGTTAAAATACAATTCATAATATTAAGCAACATTAATGAAAGATGGTTTAGTAAAGTAAGTGAAATTCTGTTCATATCTAAAATCTTGTACTTACAAGTAATTCCGGAGCTCTATACCATCTCGTAGCCACATATTCGGTGTAATTCTCGCCTGGGCTCAACATTCTCGCAAAACCAAAGTCGCAAAGTTTGACAATTCCTTCACTAGTTATTAGGATGTTTTCAGGTTTAACATCGCGATGTACGCAGCCGAGCCTATGACAATAAGCCACTCCCTGCAGTATCTGCCATATTAACTGTTTCGTCATAAGCTCGGGGCAGCCGGTTGGAAATTTCTCCATTTCATTCAGAAGCGTATGCTCGCAGTATTCAAACACAAGGTGCAACTTACGCTTTCGTCTGAATACCTCTAATAGATTTACCAGATTTGGATGTTTCAGATTCTGAGGGTTAAATAACATTAAGCCTGTTTAGTCAATAAGGGTTAAATGATTAATGGCAACGATATCGAGTATTTATTATAAAAATATATTATTAGTTTGATGCTGGTATATAGATTTTATCACATTTAAATATTTTTCACACGTTTATTAATAATAGAAGTAAACTTACTAATAATAATATTTATTAGTATTTATATATAATATTGTTAGTAATTAAATTGCATTGAATTATTCATCAAATGTTTATTAATGCAATAACTGTTTTTCGTATTAATATCTGATTCATAATCTTATACTGTCCAAAAATAAATATAATACCGTAAATATATAAATATTTATTGCTTTACTATTTTGCTTTTAATTTTGTTTAATATATTTTTAGTATTTTACTATTAAAGTTATCTCAATTTTATATATTTTCTTTTAGTATGTTTAAAAAATTTCCTTTTTATTTTCATTTATTTATTTTAACTAACCTGTTTACATATATAACCGGATAAAGGCTATTTTATATCAATATTATTATTTTTAAAAACTTCAATTAAAGAATATTTTTTTATAAATCTGCATATTATCCAATTTATAATTAAACATTTTTCGTATATTCACATTTGTGCATGTTAGTGTGTGTGAGAATCCTATATGTAAAGATTAAATATTTTATAACTTTAGAAATTAATGAAAATTTAAATTTAAATTAATTTGAAAGTCCGAAATTTCAACGAAACAAAAAATTAGGAGCATTGGTAGAGTAATTTTAAGAAATTAATTCACTTCATTGTGCTCAATGAAAACAAAGATTACTGATTTAAATATTACTTCATCTATATTGAAGTACAACTTTAATCGAAGTTTTTTACAGTTCATCAAATTACTAGATGCATGAAAAGTTAAATGGGCTTAAATATTAACCCGTATATTTCTCTCACGAAAGGTCAGGTTCAAGACGCCTCTTGAACATGCGATCGATAAACTGTACAATTCACATACATATTATATATTTTTTCTCATTGTCAGGACTTCTTTCTTTGATAGTTCTGTTATTGTACTGTTATTGTAATTTGTATACATTTTTTTACGCGAAAAATTGAAACACGTGCGTCATCTATGTACGCGGTTTTGTATTCTTTTGGAGAAATAGTGGCACGTAAAAAACGAATAGTTGGAGGTTACCAGAAACGATCTCATTAAAGTGCACGCGATTTGTTTTGTAAATACTTTTGAAATATTTAGATAAGGCTGAGAGTTAGATGAATATTGAAGACATTCATTCTTATCTAACCAATGATAACAATGTGCTTATTTGTATTTATATCTTAATATCTGCGAATACTGAACAAGTGATTTTTTTTTTAACTGAGATATTATTTTTTGGCATGTTATTAGGTAAAAATATATTTTTATCAATATGGAATTTATATATGTATAAAATAAATATAGCAAATTTTCTTTCGAGGTTCAATTTTTTGGCATAAGATATGAATAAAAGTTGAGTAAAAAATATATTATTTTATATTAAATTATTAAAAAATCAAATGTGAAAATTATTAAATAAATATATTTTGATAATTTCTTGATACTTGTACCAATGTAAATGTGAACTGCATAATTATAAATATTAATATTTGTATTATACATTTAGTTCTAAAATAATAAAATTTGTATAGAATATAAAAAGCATATGCAAGCCGTCCTTAAAAATAGATTTATTTATTCCAATTAAGTAAGATATTTGATTGCGATATGAATATTTCATACTAATTTTATTTCTATTGAATTAGTACCGAGCGTCCAAGGTTTCATTAGATAAAATTTATTACATAATTTATTCTATAAAAGCTAAAGCATTAATTCACTTAAAGCAAAAAAATATCCTACAGTTTTTACGTTAACATAAAAGCAAAAAAGTGAATGCAGTCGGGTAAAAATTACGACTTGTATAAAATAATATAACGTAGAGTAAGATATTGACCGAGGCTGTATTGACCAATGGCCAGCGTCTCAAAGACGCCGAAGGCACGCGATTTCTACACGATACGGCACAAGTACTGGGCGAAGTGCCGAGTCCGGCACTCTTTCGATTTTTAATTGCTTATGCATGTTTCATTGACAGCATGAGTTTTTCCAATTCTATTCTCTTAATGTTTGCCGTAGCATTACTTTTTATTGGCGGCACATATTTATGAAATGAACGTTATTTCGTTAGCTTCATTAAGTCGCTTTTTATAGTTTGGTTAAAACATTCGATAAATAACTAGATGCTGCTAAAACATAGAAATTCCCTTCCCTCGACATGTCTGAATCGTTTATTATAGATTTATTACGGAAATATGTAATTAAATATTATAGTCATTTAAATATAATATTATCGGATATTATATTTTTAATTGATAAAAAAAGTTTAAGAGCGTTAAGTAATAGTTTAGAGTTAGTACAAGAAATAATTTATTATTTTGTAAATCATAGTTTTTCTATGATTTTGTACGAATAATTTATTTTTAGTACTTTAGAAAACGATGTTCAATTTGAAGAAATATTGTAAAAATAAAAGTGATGACATGTAAGGGTATTCCTTAAGTATTGAAATATATTAAATTATTTTAATTTATATTAAAATAGAGAGCATTATAATGTGCGGATTTTTGAGGGAAGTCGGATAATTTTTACAAATTTATCCGATTTTATAAATAAAGTGCTGATTACAAAATACTGACGCTGAGAAGATATTGGATAAATGTAAGTGAAAAAAGCGTGGGCGGTGCTGGCAAATCGAAATGTCCGGAAGTAAAATTCGAGCACAAGCAGGTCACTGACCGGAGAGGGAAGCACGACACGTGTTCAGTCTATGATTATAAGTATAATAGAACTGATAATTAACTAAATTCATATGTTTTTCTTCTGACTGATCTTTATGACTTATTAAAATTAAATTTCAAAGAATTTAAAAATTTAATTTATAAACATATGCTTGCAATATTCTTGAGGTGTAATATATAAAAATATATAAAGAACTAGTAGCTTAAAGTAAGTAGCTTAAACTAGTAGTATAAAGAACTACTAGATACAGAATCTAGTACGTTGATCAATTCGTATTAATATTCTTATAATTACTATTATTTATGCTGATAAGTATAGTAGCGTTTTCTATATTTTATAGTGAAATAGATTTTTCATGTTCATCTAAATTTATTTTACTGTATAGAAAAACACGGTACATTTAAAATTTAGTATTTTTTTCGATTTAAGTAAATTAGTTAAAAAATTAAATATATTTAAGTATACTGCAAAATTTTCTAAATACAAAGAACGCAAATTGTCAAAATAAGTAAAATTTATCAATTCTTTATAAATTCACATAAAAAATATGATTTATAATTTAAGCAAATAGTAAATTAAAAACTGAAATTAATTTTGTTCAAATTAGAATATTATTGTTTATAATTGACTATAAGTTAAAACTGATTATATAGCTTATAATATAGTTTCAATCTAATAAAAACATCTACCAAAATATTGCTGCTATAGATAGAAGAAATTATCAATAATTGATTGACATTATTTTTTCAAATGAACCTGATAGTACATAAAGTATAAATCATTTATAAAATAGTAATGAGAAAATTTTGAAGAGTAATAATCGTTAAACAGTAAATAAACACAAACTTTAAGTAGTCTAATCTCTCTAAGTGCGATCTTTCTTATAAGTGGATCGTCCTCGGTCTGTTGAAATTTTTTAACAGCAACGAGACGGCCTGTTTGTCGATCTCTGCATTGGAAGACGACGCCGTAGCTGCCTTCACCAAGTCGTCCCAGGCGTTCATATCGTTCCATCGCCTTGCTAGGTGCTCGCGACCTGCACCCACAATATTTTGACAAAAATTTATTTATCTTATTCGATCGAATAATTCTTTCTTTTTTTAATCAAAATATTAGTCAAAGTTTTTGATGATGATTAATGCGCTATAATAATGATATTAAAAGTTTTAATTTTTCAGATATAAAGATTAGTTTAATTAGTTCGTTATAATACATTTAACATATTCGTTTTTAAATTTGAAAGAAATCGCTATTATAATTATTAATTATCGATTTATTTTTGAAAAATTGAAGCAATTACATGTAAAATAAATCATTCGTAATAAATATTAAATATAAAAACAATGAAATTTTAACTTCGGAAACAGAAATTAAATTATAAGAGATAGTTCTAAATTACAATTGAGTCGGTCTTTCGTATGCTTTGAAAAAGATCAAAACCAAACAACGAAACTTCATTTAATCAATAAAAGAACAGATGTGACGTTATATTGTGTAACATGTAAAAGGGATAGCGAAGCGAAAATAGCGAAAAACCGTAACACACATTGTATACTTAGCGAGACACGGGAGATTGAATTGGTGGGTAAAGAGCATCCTCATCGCACTAAGGCAGTCAGCAAAACTGATCAAGCTGCCGACACTGACCGAGGGCTAAGCTCTCCAGCAGCTGTAATCGCGCACGCGCCCTTCAATATCATCTCGATGGAATCTTATCTCAGTTATTGTTGAATTACGTGTTGAACTTAAATCGGTCGGAGCTCTTCGTTATTATTCCGCCATTTTTCACGCTATTTTAGCCTATTGAAAACCTTGTCCGCGAATTATAGGAAAGCAAAAAAGGCTACTGATATAATTGTTGTTAAGAAAACCGGAAGAAAGAAAGGGTTCAGAAAGTCTATAAATTACATTTATCATTAATTAAATTTTTCAAGTAATTATTTGTTTCACATTGTCAGGAGTTTTGGAGGTTTACTGGACGTAAATTTGACATCTACAAATTCGTTAAAATCATTAATCATCAAATTTTTTATTTAAAATTAAAGAATAAAGAGAGAAAAAGTATTGCAAAGTATAAGAATTCTAATAAAATTATTATCTAATAATTATTAATCAATATTTTATCATTAATCGAAATATATCTTTAATTTATTTGTCTTAAGCAATAAGCAATATAATAATGTTTTTTGTTAATCAAACAATTTATTTGGGAATATTATCTCTCTCAATTATACTGAACTATAATGATCTACATTTATTTAGTAAATTCATTGAATTTTTAACGGTAGTATGAAAACGAATTATTATTTAATATAACTTATAAAATTATAAATAAATAATTTAGTTAATAAATAAAATATTAATAAGATACAATAAAAGTAAAAATGATAAAATTAGAAGTAGGAAAAATTTGTTATAAATTTTTACAAAAAAATTGTAAAATTTAAAAATTTATATTTGCATTTAATGCTACATAAATAATTTAACTTAATAAATCAGCTTAATAATTTTTTTTTTATATTATTAGAGAATGAATATTTTAAATTAATATTATAATCAAAGGAAATTTACAGATGTTTAGTCTGATGGCATATAGAATGTGAATAAGATAAAATTACTTTTAGCTTATTCAAGTTTATATGTAATCAAATCTGTTGCTTGGTTAAAAGTCGTGAATTTACTACTGTTCTAGTATGATATTCATATTGGTTGGTTAATCTTTATTATTGCTCACTAACTTTTTAAAATACTTTCTACATACAATATATATATTTTTTACTAATCTACTAATAGATTTATCTAAATCAAAGAATAATAAGTAAAACAATCGATATAAAGTCAATGAGCAATTATTTTTTTCCATAAGTTATATAAACCTTATTTATTTTCTATTTATTTTCCCTTGGTTGATATTCGATAAAATCATAATTTTCAGTAATTATAAAGTAGTGTGTTCATATTTCATCATGTTGTTACGTGAATTTCTTCAAGAACTTAAAACAGTATTAATATATAGTACTAATAACAGTATTAATATGACTGTAATAACTTTTCAATAGTAATTTTTTTCATAATATTCCTAAATATTTGTGCACATTAAGTTGCAACAAAATACACTTTCGTATAAATATTTATATCCAGAGCATTGAACTATCAATCACTTTATAGCTATACTTTTAATGCAAAATTTATTATCTCATTTCAAATACAGTTATTACTCTATTATTAATTCTGTTGGTGAGATATTTTATAGTTTATTACTGAATTGGTAAAAATTATTCAAATAAATAAGTACATTTAAAAGCTATTGATATATTTGGTTTATTTTGATTTATTATGTTTAATTTGTTATAGGTATAAAAAAATTATGTTCTTAAACTTTCTTTTATTAATAATCGATACAAATATATATATGTATAATTTATGCTAATTTCTAGTTGCTATTCCAATATTCATATAAAAGATTATAAATTAACATAGTTGAACGTGGAAAGTCTTAAATAATGACAATATGTAAAAAAAATAAAACATATTTCATAAGAAATATGAGTTATTAATGTATATGGTATTACTAATTTTCACTAATGCACAAGAATGAAATTTGGTATATTAATTTTTAGTTTTAATATATTTATTCAGATATTTTTATAAGATCATTATTTAAATCGATACTAACTGAAGAATTTAACGCATACAAATGATAAAATAAATTGAAGCCTACTTTATAAGATGATATATATATAATGAATACGTGCGTGAATGCAAGTGTATATATACAGTTTTATTTGACAATAAGTATTTCAAGCATTTTATATACAATAATGATCCTACTGAAATATATTACATATGTATATTCAACATTTTCGGAAAAAAATTCTACAAATACATAAATCTAATATAAAATAAAACTGTATGATTTACGCTAAACATTAATAAGATATAATTTATTATGTAAACTATTTTCATTGAGATAACATTGTGCAGAGAATAATATATTTCATGTAATGTAATTTATAGATCAAAGAATTGAAGTTTTGCTTAATAATTTGTGTTTAAATTATAGCTTACAATTGATATTACAAATAATATTTAATAATATTAATATTAATAGAATAATAATAATAACAATAGAAAAAAGTAGAACGACAAAAAAATAATAACAATAGTAATGCTAAAGGCAGAGTATCTAAGGCAACTTAATTAATTTATTATTTCATATTGATGATTGTATTTTATATATTATTATACTACAATATAATTTTAAGAAAATATAATTTTCACAGTGTAAAGTAAATTTTCATATCTATTAATGTTTATTTTGTTTTAAATAGATGCTTATTCACTTACCATACAGGAATATATTGCCTATAATTAACAAGCATTAAATTGCTAACCATCTTTGACGTTTTTAAAAAACTGAAATTTCTTAAATTTCATTTAAAATTTATAATTGATAATTTTATAAAAGCTTATCTAGCTTAAACTTTATATTCAGAAGAAGGTTAAAATATTACAGTAAAAGGAACATCAAATTTATTTACTATCATACAACTTCAGATATTTAAATAGGATGTATCACCGGTGTATCACTGTGATGCCATTAATTCTATAAAAAAAATATTGGTTTTTTTATATGTAGAAAAGTGATTAATGCTGTTTTTAAAAAGAAAGAGAAATTCAAATTTCATTCATTGAATTGACATATAAGACATGAAATGAATTTCAGATTGTAGTATAAAATAAATATTTTAAAATCAATATAGAAGGTTAAAGGTAGTTTATTTTTATCTGCAGTATTTTTTTTAACTAGAAGTAGAATCCACGTGTACGTAACGTACATGTTTTTATTACATAAGTTTAACAAATTAAGAACAACAAAATTATCAATGAATTATAATAATTAGTTTATTTTATGTTCTTTTTTATACAAACACATATATAATGATTTAAACTCTGATTATTTTTATGTATTAAATATCATTTTTATTTATAATTATATTAAAGTTAAATATATATATATATATGTAAAATTAATTCCATAATAAAAATTATATGATATATTTATATTATAAAATAAATATATTTTTAAACGTAAAAATACAGTTATTTATACTCAAAGCATAGAGAAGTAAAGGAAATAATGCAACAAGATAAAAATTTGAATTAAAAAATGAAAGCAAAATATTTATTTAACTATATTATTATTTTGTGAAGAAATAAATTATAGTGCAGAGATATTTTAATTAGGACACTTCAATTGCTATCTCAAGTATCTATTTAAACATAATTTTTAGCTACAGATGAGAAGTTTTCGCAAAGTTAAAAATAAAACTCTTTAAAACTCTTAGTACTATTAAAAATAAAAACTTACAGCTCAGTAAATTAATCTTTCACAAAGTTATTTATAAAGGACATACATAATAAGGGGTAAGGGAAAAAAGGATTTTGAATAATGATAAGTAAATTAGTATTATAAAATTAAATAAGCTTTTGAAAGAGAAATATATACAGAATGTACATACAGTAATTGTAAAATAGCGTTCATCGAGTTTCCGTACCACTTAAACCGTATCAGCGCTCATACTGAGCGCTACTACTTAGACTAAAGTCGCAGGAAAAGTGAGACCATGGATATATGCACTTGATTATATCATTTATGAGAACTAAATTATTACTACTTGATTATTGACAATCAATATTCCTGATAAACATTGCATAATTAAAGCTTGAATTTATATATTAGTTGAATTATTGTATTCTAATCTGTTGTTTATTTTAGAGGAAAGAGGAAAAAGAACAGAATGACGCTTGTTTTATTGTATATTGCAAGCTTAGATTTAAATTATACTACATCCTTTAAAATATTATTAATTAAAATTAATGAAATTTCTTTTATAGATTCACATAAATACGTATTTACTTTAACAGTATGAATTTGGTTTTAGGAAATAAAGAAATATATAAAAAGAACAGCAAGATTAAATTAATAGAATACTTTTATAATATTATTAAAAATTATATTTAAACTTGTCTAACAAG